ATCTACCTCAGTACAACGGAAGATGGTCGCACAATTTCGTGGATCGGTTGATGTTAGACACTAACACCATTGAATGCCGACTCAGCGGTCCAGTAGAAAATATTAGTTCATCAAAGACTTCGAAGCAATCAACTGCTGATCTGACTGCAGACCACTTGTCCAAATCGCGATAACTGTTTAACGATTGCATTGTGTAGTAAGTTAGTCGTATTTTGTTATAGGATTTCATACAATTATGGACTATCTGAGCTGGATAGTTTCGAATGATTGAAGAGATTACCACTAACGATCAACTCATCTTTTAACTTTTTTCCCAGGATCTTTGCCTGTGTTTGCTTGATTTGTCTACTTGTATCCCTTTGAGTGGATACCACTGTTACTAACTGCATCTCCTACGACGTGAATAGGGAGTTAACCAACAAGGTAACTTCTCATACACATAGTTTCCTTTATCATTTTGAAAAGAGCAAGAACAAGCATTCTAGCAGAACAACATGAATTCATTTTTATTTCTACATAAGGTATATATTTACAATATTCAGTCTATTAAATTTATTTACACCCTTGCTACACTATAGTAATATGTCTTCAATATAACTTCCAACTAAACCCTCTCATGTAAGTAATTTAAACCCATTATGTAGTTATGATTTTAAATATCACAGGTTGTAAGCAGCTGACGAGAACCAATGAAATAAAAATATCATGCTATTCTGCTAGAAAGTAACTTCTATCAAATCTTGGCTACATGATTTTTGAAAACAAAGATTTAACATTGCTTCGTCCAAACAAAGGCGCTAATATTATCCTTATGGATTGCATTTATTACATCAACAGATTATCCACCATACCTTCACATGAACATAAGTTCTCTAAAGAATCTATCCGAGAAGATACAAGTAGGCGAATCAAGCAAACACAGGCAAAAGTCCTGGGGAAAATGTTGAAAGATGAGTTAATCGTTAGTAGTAATCTCTTCAAACATTCGAAACTATCCACCTCAGATGGTCCGTGATTATATGGACTCCTATAATAAATATAACTAACTTACTGCACAATGCAATTGTTGAACAGTTGTCGGGAATTCGACAGCTGACCCGACATCAAGTCAGTGGGCTCAGAACTATTTATTTCTTGGACTTGATCGTTTTAACAACTGAAGTCCTTCCGCTTTAATAAATAACATTTACTGATAAGCTAATGATGAACAACTGAAGGGAACAGAAAAGAAGAACTATTTGTCTAATCGCTCTAAATATTGGGAATTTTAAGTCGTGTTTCAAATAGGCTAACCGGTGAAGGTCGTATTACTAATTTATGCATATTGTAGAAAACCAGTCATACTGTAAATCAAAACAACTCAAATAAACTACCATGGATCGTAACTATTTTTACACAGGAGGGTCAATTGATTAGGGACATTATTACCAGAAAGAAAAGGAAATTTTACCAAACGAGAGTTCATCACATAAATTCATAAGTTGATTTGATGATGCTGAGAATCTGCACATGATGAAAGTATGATTTATTGCAGTTACCTGACAGTAAACTGCTTTAGAATGAAGCCAGAACTACAATGCGATAGAATAATATGAAACCATTTTATTTCTTGGTTTCTGCTCAGCTGCTTACAACCGTATTTGTACTGAAATATGTGTATGAATAACTACGTGTAAGGTCATTTTGTATGAATATCGAAAGCGTAGATGCTGAGAGGCAATTATATTGAATTCGAAAATTGATAAGGTGAGTTGCGCAATAGTAACTGTTATTACTAATTGTTATATCCTAGTGGGCCATAAAGATACAACACTAATGTTTGTATTTTGTTACTCAATCTCCGCTGAGCTAAATGTTATTCTACCCACTTTATGATATCTTTTCAATCACCTAATTCTTAATTTTGTGTAATCTCTTCAAACTCTATATAATTTCTATGCAATCTACCTTATCAATTTTCGAATTCAATATAATAACTGCGTCACAGCATCTACGTTTTCGATATCCATACAAAATGACCTTACACATAGTTATTCATACACATATTTCAGTACAAATACGGTTGTAAGCAGCTGAGCAGAAACCACGAAATAAAATGGTTTCATATTATTCTATCGCAATCGTAGTTCTGGCTTTCTTCAAATTCATAAACAGAAATAAGTGTACCAAACTGCTTGTCCAACTACAAGTCTTACAATCGACAAGATTGTAATGATCATCGGTACTGAGCTTATCAACCGATAAACAGGCACACATCAAAGGTAATTATAAGGGGAAGGTTTCTGAACGAATTCGAAAGAATCTACATCTTACAAATCTAAACACTTTTAGCAGCACACTAACCTGCATGTATGCGACTCACTACAGATATGTAAAGGATTTTGAAATGTCAAATATATAGAACACAATGACCACGTGTATACAGATCACCTTATGTATTTAAAAACACATGATTGTTAACCATTTTATGTTCGATTAACGTGGAGAAAGAACTTTGATTTGAAAATACATACTTCCATACGTTAGCACTTAGATCTACTACTTACCGGTTTATTTTTTATTATCACTGGATATTATCGTTAGTAACTAAAATCATGAAAGTACTGTTTTTACCCTACACTAGATCACTTTTGACAGGATTACATAAGTCACTTAGTTTTATTCTTACATAACTCACTTACAAATTGAATCTTTCTTTGCTCATTCGAAAATATTTGTCTACCCGTTTCAGGGTACCGGTATGATCTACTTTGGTTATCTGAAATGAGTAAATGTGTTGTTTATTTCGTAAGTTATTCATCTAATCTTTTGGTAGATCTAGCATAAACAATTTAGTTAGTGTTTGATACCTAGAAGCACAGGATGGCCATTTAGTCCTATTGTGGGACTCCTCAGCAGTGCGCATCCAGGACCCCGCCTCATGGGATTCGAATCCAGGGCTTATCGGTCTCAGTGGTCTAGTGGTTAGGCGCTCGCGCAACAAACTAATATTTGTTTCAACCCTTAACTTGCTAAGGTGCGAAACATAATTCATATCATTTTATCAATAAGTAATTTATCGCCACCAATCACACTCACTATTTTTTTAAGGAATAAATAAAACACTAGTCAAATAATAATCACAATGTAGTGGCTCTCATAAGAGCCAATATTCGTTCTCTCTATACGTTATCAAGGATTAAATCGTGTAGACATCGGTTCATCTTTGATCCATTAATTGACAGGTAAATCATAACATACTATCTCCACCAAAATTTTCTGACATAAAGAGTAACTTTGATTTTTAAATAAACCATCACAAACTCAAATGGTGGGCTGATAGTTCTGCTTTTTTGTGATCCATAGCAATTAAGATCTAGTGCTCGGTTTAGTGAGAGAACTCTCAGTTCAGGCATCTCGTCTCAGTGTTACAACAAAATTCATTCAAATTCTTGGAACCAATATAAACGTAGTAGTCAGTGATCAACCATTCAAGCATGAAACATAATTTGTCAATTCAATTGAGTAAGAATTAATTGAAATGAATAAATTTGGAGTAGGTATGGGTATGTTAGGAAAGTTGTCGATAGCTCCAAACATCATTGTTCTTCATACCGACGCAATGATTGGTTAGTTTGTATCTTCATGAATAATAGTCGATTGTAAGTCTCTCAAATCTCTTTTTCTTTTCAAAACATACCATATTCAATTCAATTTCTTAATATTCTAAACAAAAGTTCTTCAGTCTGTCTATTTTTCTTCCTTCGTCAGGTATTTGTATGTCTTTTGATCAATGTTAATCGTAGCTTCATAGTTTCCCATAAAACGTACCGTTCATTCTCGGGTAAAAATCGAAGATACTTCAGTGATAAATTAATATGCTGCATTTTGTTGAGTTACTCAAAGCTACTGCTTATTTATCATTATCATTATCGTTTATTCGCAATGATATTATGAGTATGAAGACAAAACCAAGTAGAACTTTTGACATTCACACTTAATCCATATATGTTATTTATCGTCTAACAGTAAATGAATTTTAGATGATTGAAGCACTGTACGTCAGACCCTTGATGTGTATTCGGATGAATTGTTCGTTACTTTTTTATGTAATACAGGAACAAGAAGTGATGTTTTCCGATCGATCAATATTATTACCAATCATTTTACACGGATCGCTGGTTTGTTATTATTAGAAGAAACAAAATAATTTACATAAAAAATGAATTTAAATAAATTGAATATTACACAGAAACCATGTTAGTCCATTACATTTGCTGGGCAGAAAATATTCTGTTATGAATAAATATAGGGTATTATAGTTAAGTACGATTACAGGAAATCTTGTATATTAGATATACCATACAACAGCATGGGATTGTACCGAATACAATAACCCTCTAACTAAATTAAACAACTATGGTCAGGTTATACGAATAATTTAAGAAAGGCAGGAAATCAACGTAATGAATCACTTAAAAAGTCATACTAATCGATGGGAGAAAACTGGAAGATGATCAAATGTTACACTTTTTGGTTGTTTTCGCTGAATTAGTTATTTTATTCGTTAAGATCTTCTTGTCTTTGTGGATAACACTGCAGTCGTTACCGACCGGTAGTGAAACTTTAAAGCGATGTCTATTCCTAATTTAGGACTGGTTATGTGAATGTATATGCTTTAATAACCCGTACGAGATACCTTTTAAAATTTATTTGTATCGACGGTACAATTTTGTTTATTTTGTTTATAATCACCTTGTTAGTGGACTATGAGCTCCATAAATATAATGTTCCACAAATCCAATCATACAAATGTTTTACTCTCGAAAGTACTAGCAAAGCTTTATTTGCCCTAAGAAACGTCTTCCTATTATATAGTGTGGTTGAACAGTATGATTCATGAGATCAAAACCGGATATAAAACTAAGGAATACTGAATCCTACTTATATATATATATATATATATATATATATATATATATATATATATCGGACAGTTTAAAAAATTAGTGGAATATTACCATTGTGAAAAGAATTTTGAACACGAAGTCCTGGAGTATTCTCATGATTTTCAAATCTATCATCATGACCCCAGTACTGTCTTAAACCTTGTCCACGATGAAAATTATTTTGAAAATGAACTCGCGAATGTCGCGTAAGGCCACGAGAATTTTTGGACAAGGCTTCCCGACCGTCATGTTCTACAAAAAATTAACACAATTAATTAGAAAATAAAATGAAATGTTAAATTAGATATTCAGAAATCGAAGTCTACAAACAGTTGGAACTAATCAACAAACTATACTGTATTATATAACAGAAATAAGATTCACTTGTGTTATCGAACAGTATAAACAAAACAAAAACAGTTGAAATCACAAGTTGATCTAAGCTAGACCGCAACTGAAAACCTGGAAGCACTGGATAGCCGTTTCAACCCAGTATGGGACTCCTCAGCGGCGCGCATCCACAACCCCGCACGCAGGACTCGAACCCAGGCCCGTCAGTCTCGCGCGCGAACGTTTAACCTCTAGACCACCGAGACGGTATTCAGCGGCGTTAATGTCTAGGTTCAAATGATCCATGATCTTGCGCAACCATTGATTGCATCGACTCGTGATTTCAACTGTGAAAATACTACGATCTCCACAAATTCCCAGTCCTGATTGTCAGGTTCATCTGACCAATTAGCGATAGTTCTAAAAGAAAACAAAAATTTATCAATTTCATTCAAGGAGACATCATTGGTGTCTATATTGCGTAGACTCCTATTGACATTGACAATGTAATGGAATGTAAAAGTTGCAATGTGAAGGACCTTTCTTAGATAATTACGTTCTCAGATCACATCAAATCCATAGTGAACTACAATTCTTAGACCGTTTTAGTTAAAAGGAACTTTAATGGAAATCAAAATTTATTCAAATAACGAAAATTGGAACATTTTAATGGGTACATGGACTTCAACTTTGTACATTCATCCAGTTCAAAATATCTCTGGTTCGAAAACTAAATAAAAAAGCCATCAAGATCAAAACCTCGGAGGATAAGCAACCGGAGAAAAATAACATACTAAATATCTTACAACTTAACGATTTCCCTAGGAATATAACAGATAAAAATAGCAGTCAAAATGGGTTATTTCAAAACTTTTTCTATATTACGAGCACATACAGACTATAAGGTGAGCCCCTGAGAGAGCATTTATAGAATAGAGTGAATTTAGAGATAAGATAGTCTTGGATAAAAAACGCTGTCAACATTTATCGCAACTAAAATGATTGACATCTCAAGCGGAGTCGCCAAAGCAATTATTACCCTACACTAGACACAAGCTTGACGTCGAAGTTTATTTTTAACTGATTTTGTTGAAATTATTTAATTTTTTAACGCTTGTCAAGTAGTTAACTTATCCAAATATACCAGTTTAAACAAATAAAGTCTACATATACATTAATTCAGAGAAAGAATTATCACAGGAAAATTTATAATGTTACTCACGAAATACAAAACAACATACCAGAATTTAAATTGTAAAATCCACGCTCTTTGATTGATTTCGAGGGGAAAACACTACGCTGCTGATCTAATGTCGACCGAAAAACTGTTGAACGATCCATACGTGATCCATTTAGTACAGGTTGATTTAAAGGATGTTTTTGTATATCTATTCGACGGCTATCATTTACTTTATTACCACTACCGCGACCACGATTACGACTAGCTAAAACTGATGGAGGTGGATTAGCCAGAAACAAGGCCCGATTTATTTCATACTGAGTCATCAAGTCACGATTATATTGCTCTTGATCCTTATTTATGGAATGCATGCCATGTGTAGAACGACGATTATTTTGATAATCGAATTCTAAAATAGTATAAAGTAAAACGATCAGTCGGTATAAATCACGTTCTGTAAACAAACTAATAATAACAGGCTTAGACTATGTGGGGAATCAATTGATTTATTACACCTATGTACAGTTCAGTAATACCAATCAATTATCGAACGTAGTCGTTTTCAGAAATGTGGGGATTTATTCGGTGTCAGTAGAACCTGTTGTAACAGGTCACTATCACCAAAATAATTACAAGATAAATGATAAACTCTATGATGATCCATTACACCGTTTTTCGTAAACGTGAATAATTTGTATGTTGTTGAATATTTACAGAACTCAGCAAAACCTCCTTATGATGTAAACAAATTTCTTGACTTAAACACACTTCCATGTGTTACACTATATGACAAAGAAAATATTTGGGTAGTAGTATAATGTTCGTCAGCTTCATAATACTATGGCTTTCATAAGTACTCCTAAGCATGTAGCTGATTTTTAGTAAATTTGTCATTACTCCAGAACTAGGTAGATAGATTAACTAGTTAAGACAGCGTCCTAACTGTCATTTTAAGCTGGAAACTTAAATTATTACTTAGTAAATATTTTGCAACTGACCGTTTTAAACACTAGAAGAATGTAATGATTGTATCAATAAATGTGAATTAGAGGAGAGCAGAGTGACAATTTACACTTCCAGCTCTACTTTTCAATGACGCTCATGGAGTTTCGTAAGTTTCTTACTCAAATTTCGCTACATAAATGCTTAAATAGTACTGTGATTCAACCTAACTGGAAATTTCCTATATTTATAGGAATTCCATCAGTTTAAAAATGAAAAAGATCATTCAGAATCAGTTGATAAGTATATTATTGTCACGACTCAAAAGGTAGGTTGCTATCAACATTTTAGAACAGATACTAACACATATGGAGAACTCTACTATTGATGTAATCAGTAAGAAAACCGATCGCCCGTTAGGTATAGAGTGTAGCCGTGAACTGTACTATTAAAAGATTTTTAAATAAGAGTAAAGGTGAACAGCACACAAACACTGTGATTTTCGTCAACCGACGTCTGTTAAGTACATCCTATATATCACACAATGTGAAGTGGCAATCTTACGTTGATTATCATATGTAAATGCATGAGTAGCCATTATCCACATAAACGTGTAACATTTGCTACAGCAAAAAACTTTTCGGAAAGACTATTATAAATATCAAAGCACAATTACTAACAATAAGAATACTTTTTCAACCAATCAGTCAATACGAGATGTAACAAGATCTCTAAACTAGCTAAGTCAAAAACAATCATCAAATCTCACGAACATAACTAGTGTAAAGTTTTGCTGTGTATTCTAATATTTTCGAACTTAAAACAAGTTGGGGATATGATCAAACATTTTCGTATATGGACCTTGATTTACTTGACGTTTTTGGGCTGTTGTTCCACAGGTTGTAGTCAAGGGTTTCCTAAATACTATTGCTTTTTGGAAGGTAGACATGATAACCACCACACCGCCGTCACGGCAGTCAAGACGATGTAGAACAGTTCTGTGACAAACTGAAGTCCATCTCACAAAATTGTCCAGGAAAACGCCTGATCATCCTGATGAGGGATCTACGTACCAAGGTAAGGATAGATAACAGCGGGTACGGATGTATAATGAGGTAATATGGACTGGGAGAAAGAAGTGAGAATGATGAGATCATATATCTATGTTTTTAACAGCATGATCATAGGTGGCATTATTTCACACACACCCACAAAGTTACAAGTTTCGCTGGACCACACCACAAAGAACCAGATCGATAACGTTTGCGTAGGCAAAAGATTTAGGAAGTCTCTCGAACACTTCAGAACAAAGCAACTGATGTAGCTTTGAACCATCAACTTATGGTGGATAAACTTAAGTTGAAACTAAAGAAGCATTGGGTACAGACGTCCTTCAAGATCTGAGCAAGTTCGGCGAGTCCAAAATACTTTTCAGCAAGAAGTCCTGAGAGATCTATCCAAGAGAGGAAACCGCTATTGAAAAATGGAAAAGGATTGAAGACGCAGTAGCTTCAACATACAAAGTGCTGGACCTCAAGAAGCACCACCATAAACAACAGATTTTTATTGATGCCCTGACCAAGATTCAAGAAGGCGAGAATAAAAAGACAGTAATCAACAATAGCCGAATAAAAGCAGAGGAAGGAAACAGACAAGTTCAATATACAGCGGCAAACAAAGGAGTGAAGAGCATTAGAGCTGACAAGCGGAAATATGTGGAAGACCTAGCAATGACAGCGGAAAAAGCTACAACAGAAGGAAATGTGAAACAACTATGTGATACAATGAAGAAGATAGCAGGGAAATACAGCAGACCAAAGCATGTAGTTAGAAATAACCAGTAACAAAGAAAATCAAGAGAAGCGAGAGAATTATGAAGAGCTCGTGAGTAAACCAGCCTCGCTGATCCCACTGAAAATCCAAACAACGCACACAAATCTCTTTATAGATGTCACCCCACCAGCAATATAGACAAACAAGATAATCAGATAAGTCAAGAATGGCAAGATGGTAGGACCATACGTCGAACCAGACGAAGCACTGAAGTCAGATGTAGAGGTAACTGCTGAGACATTCCACATCCTCTCCAAAAAGATTTGGCAGGAAGGATAAGTACCAACAGAAGAGAAAGAAGAACACCTCATTAAGGTAATGAAGAAAAATCTTAGTAACTGTGAGAACTGAATAAAGATCACACTATTACTAATACCAGGAAAGGTTATTAACGGTGTTGTCAAACCGAATGAAGGATTCAGTAGAAGCCCAGCTCTGAGCTAAATGGAACTCATTATCATAAATGAACTTCCCTGATTACAAGAAAGCATTTGACATCATGCATGGGACACTACAGAGTACCTGAGATCACCATCATATGGAACTCCTATAAGGGACTGCATCGCAGCTCAAATGTTCATTTCACATGAAGGCTGATGTCAGACAAGGCTGCTTATTCTACTTCCGCTGTTGAATGGATTGTGAAGATTCTCACATCATAGGAGAATCATGGAGTACGATCGTCAGCTTGGATGCAACTGGACGATTTGTACTTTTCAGATGACCTATTCATGTTATCACACACACAACAACAAATACAGACGAAGACGACCAGTACAGCAGCTGCTTTGCAGGGGTAGGCCTCAACATTAGCCAGGAAAGACAGGATACTGAAGTAAAATCACAGTGAATACCGACCTGTGCGCAGTTGGTTCCTAAGCTCTGAAAGAGATGCAAGCCTTTACGTGGTTGAGCAACACCACTGACAAACGACGGGCCCTGGTGCAGAGGTGAAGACATGGATTGGCAAAACAAAGGCAATATACCCAAAGTTGAAGAACATCTGGAACTCAGAGTAACCCTCAGCCAACACCAAAGTCAGAACCTTCACCACAAACGTTAAGAGAATCATATTGTATGGAGTTAAAACTTAAAAAACCATGGCTACTAGAACAAGCCAATGTTAATAATTCATCTTCGTGTCGTATTTCCCACTTTGGAGGACCTTAAGTGTTATTGGTTCGTTGTTGCTTTTAGTATGCTATTTTGTAACGTTTCCCAATGACAATTTTATGTTGTAAATATACGCTTGAGTTGTACTTGTGGTTCGTTTGTGCTTTTGGCTGCTTGTGGAATACATTTCCATCTTCTGAACCTGGACTTCTCTCCCTAGCTAGAAGGGCTGGGACACATCGGAATAGTTTATTTCATCATTGTGTCACTGAGTCTTTGATTCATTCGCAGATCAGGTGGACTCATAATCTCTTCAACTATAGCAGTCATAAAATAACTATGTCGTATTCCAGTCAGTTAGTCAGCCATATTTTTATGGTTTCCTTAATTACGACCCAGCTACTCTTATTGCTTAGTATTTTTTGACACTACTTCACTCAACAAGTCCCAAAATCAGAACACGGTTGAACAAGAACGTTGTCAGTTGTAGCTGACTGACTGACTGAGAACGTAACTATATTTCAAATGACAAGGGTGGATGGAAGTAGGAGTCCCAATAAGGGATGTGCTAGTACACTCATAATTTTTACATAAGATTCCAGATTATCTTAATATCCGCTAGCACGAACTGGTTAGGAAATAGTCAATCAGAGTACCCTAAAACAGTCTTGAACGAAACATGCTTTGATTCAATCTATATCCTACTAACACATATGCAATGTAGAACCCGACACATATGCATTGGTTCAAGCTGCCGTACCACATTACCACAGTGGATATTTTGTTTCCTGACTTTACTGCCTCGCAAACGTATACACTTGTTAGGGCTTTTAGGAATTTTCGGATACATTTTCTAGACTGGCTACCAACCTTCTGTTCCTTCAGTGGAGCCTTGAGAACAACGCCAAAATTGTTAAAACCGCCTAGCTATTAGCATCAAGACAATACATGCCGTTGTCATTTAACCCTAATTCTATTGCAATATATATAGAAGTATTGTGAAATCGAAGCATGAAACGCCTAACCCATAAACAGATCAAATGACCGATATAATTATGATCGATAGACTATTACAACATAAATGATATTATTAATAATACTTTAAAACAAACCAAAATTAGAGAGACTATATACATCAATGATTTAATATCAATCAATAATTAACTTGGTAACAAACCAAAAGTAAGTATACTATTCGTTTTTACAAAGTTTGGAAAAATCATTTTAAATGTTCGGCATATAATTAAATATGCACGAAGTGAATAATATTTTAAATATGAGAAATAAATCGTCATATTTCAAGCATTTATTGTCCTAGCTAAGATAGTGACTCTTAGTACAATTAGGTTGTTTACGTAAACACACTGAGATTCACATAAATAATTCAACTGTGTCAAACAACATGGTGAGCAAGGTTACAAAATGTGCGTGGAGGAGAATACCGATCTAATCTCAATTCAGGTGGTAATTACTAATTTACCCACGGTCACAAACACCATGAGATTTTGGGCTGAACAAGAA